ATGTGTATGTTCTAGCTGCTTAGACTGATAGAATCACTTATGCCCAGGAATTCAAGGCCAGTCTCAGAAGCAAAGCAAGATCCCATCTGAAAAGAAAAGAACAGAACAGAAAAGAAAAGAAAACGTATGGAACACCATGGCCTGTCTGGGGCTTGCCGTGAGCAAACCACAGCCACCACCTTGATGGAAGAAAACAGAAGCTGGAGAAGAGGCCCAGAGCCCAGTAACAAGGAGCCTTAGGGCCAACGTTGGTGCGCTTACACTTCCTAGGCATAGGGGAGCCACCAAGAAATGGGATCAGAGCTACATTTTGGAGCGACAAAGGCAGCAGTGTGGGAAGCAGATGGCTTAATGGAGGTAAGCCTGGGGCTGACAAATGCTGATGCAGTCTAGGAGAGACCAGAAAGCCTGGGCTATGACCACGGTACGGGGGCAGGTCTGTAACACCACTCCAGGAGTTCTTCAGTAACTCATCTCTTTATTTCCTGCTGTCAGGGACTTTTGACATTCTTGTTCAAGTATATTCCTACTCTTAGAACAAAATCATGTATGCAGCAAATGGTCAGTTAGTACTCCTAAGTCGACGAACCCTTGAGGACAGGAACCCTAGCTAAGTCTTATTGTATTCCTCGACAACTGCAGTGGAAGGCTGTACATAATGTTCAGTAACATTTACTGGTGAGGTATTTTAAAGGCATATATCCTGAACATTTTCAAATAATGACAGAAGCTGGTATAACTCAGTAAGTAGAATGTGAGGCCCCGTGTTTTATCCCCAGTGCCCCATAAACTGGGTGTGTTTGGCACACACTTGTAATCCCAGGACTTGGAAGGTAGACAATGCAGGATCTAAAATTCAAGGTCGTTCTTTGCTACAAAGGGAGTTTGAGGCCAACTAGAGCTAGAGATTGTGTCTAAAAATAAAAAGCCCCAAACAACCAAATGACATTAAGTTTCTTGTTCAGAGAACTTTTCAAACTCTCAGCCCTGCACAACCCACATGGGCATCGAGCAATCCAGCTGGGCCCTTGGTATTTTTTGCAGATCACTGATGCAACACAGGCTGGAACACCACGGCCTTCCTGTGCTTATGTGACAGCATTCGCTCACATCATGAGGACAGTACCTCATTCCCTGCCTGCACCATTTCCCATGGCTGCAGCCACCAACAGAGGCAAGTTAGCACTTGATGACTGGGCCTGGCAGCCCAGTGACCTGTGAGGAGGGTCCCCATAGAGGTGGAATAAAGATTTAATTTGTCTGTTCCGCAAAGAACAGAAAGGGCAGTTTAATTCTTCTGAAGAAGAACACAACAGGCTCAAGCCATCACTTGACAGATCACCAGTCACAAGGCCTCCAAACGCCAGTTTCCAGGCAACTGCCTGCTGCCTAACTACAGAGACTCTTCCAACAGCATGGTGGCTCTGGAAGAGTGTTCTGTACCTTCCGAGAAACAACATCCACATGATTTTTTGGGGGGGTGGAGTGGGGGAGCTGTATTCAGTATTAACTTTTTTTCCAGTGCTGAGACCTAGGGCCTTGAAATTGTTAGGCAACCACTTATCAGGTTTATTTCTTCATTTGAAGAACGAGAATGATCTGGTCTGTCCAATAGACACATGTGATGGTCAATCTCAGGTGCCAACCTGATAGAAGCTAGAATCACCCGGGTGTCAGGAGCCATAATGGGACAAGCTAATAATTAGCAGTTGATCATCCTGAAATGCTTGCCTCGGATTATTATATAATCTGTGACAAGTGTGCCCCATTCAGCAAGCTGTGGCGGACGTATTTTAGGAAAGATCCTGCTATTAATATGCCTTTCCTATCATTATTATTAATAAACATATGTAACAAACACTAAGCAATAGCACACCCCTTTGGAGCAGATCTCTGCAGACCCACGAAGATGTACTGTCTTGTACTGATGCTATATAGACAAACAGATGACTTCTTAAGTCTTAATGATGATCCTATAAGAATTCCTAAAATTATATCAATGATTATTTAGCTCTTTTTATAGTGGGACCGGTATTACGTCCCTTTCTGATAGTCAAGGCTGCAATGAGAACTCTGCTAGTCTCCCGAGTGTCATCAGTTAATTTACCCTTAGATAGTAACCAGACTCTCTCCTGCTCAGAGCACATTCCAAAGTGGTTGTAAAACAATTAACCAAGGGTCAAAGGGAACTCATGATTTATTATAGGTACTAGGACAAAAGAGAAAATATTGCCTGGGTTTATCTATACAAAACTTCACTAATTTCTTATAGTTTTAAACCCTCAGTGAACCTGTGGAGCTAGACAGGTGATGAGTGTTTAGCCAGATAATTACTCCTAATGGATATAAACATTATCTGTTGTAAACTTCTGCTTCAATTTATGATTTGAATTTTGGTGTGAACTTGTGATGAACTTTGTAACATGTGATCAGGTACTCTGAATGATGTATAAGACAAAGGGATGTTCATTAGCAGTGCCGTTTCTTCTCTCTCCACTCTCTCACTCTCTTCCTTCTCTCTCTCTTTACTCTCCTCTTTCTCCTCTCTCTCTCTTCCCTTTTCTCCCTCTTCTTTCTTCCCTGCTTAGAATCTCTCCACTTAGAATTTTTTCCTTTGTTAGAATTTTTTCCCTTTCCCCACTTAGGACCTTTCCACTTTGTCTCTTAGATAGCTTTCATAGGAAACTTTTTTTTTTTTTTTTTTTTTTTTTTGGTTTTTCGAGACAAGGTTTCTCTGTATAGCCCTGGCTGTCCTGGAACTCACTCTGTAGACCAGGCTGGCCTCGAACTCAGAAATCCGCCTGCCTCTGCCTCCCAAGTGCTGGGATTACATAGGAAACTTTTTACACTTAGTAATAAACTATAACATCTTTAAGTGCCTTTTCTTCCTGTGACCTCAAACTAACAGACCTAAGTTAGAGCCTGGCAGCATCTGCAGAGAGAGTAGTACTAAGGCTATTTGCCTAACTCTCTGCTATCCTTAGACTGAGGTTTTAAGTGCCAGAAACTGCAGTTTCTGGCCTCAGAGATCAAACAGATAGCAGGTCAGCTACAGTAGACTAGTAAGTAAACTTTAGTAATGTAGAGAAGTAAACCTTATTATACAGCAACCTTAAATATCTCGTAAGACCAAAGTCTTACCCCAATCTCATAAGACCAAATCTTACCCCCACCGACGCTCTTCCAATTCCTATCCCCCTCTGCTGCCTCAAGAAGAACCAACAAGGAGGAGAAGAAAGAAGATCACCTTCTCCTCCCACCAAGCTGGGACTGGCTCCCAGCACCCAGGCATGCCTGTGGGGATTTTGTTGATTAGGTTAACTGAGACGCAAAGATCCACCCAGTAGTCCGTAGGCTAGGATCCTGGAATGTAGAGAGAAGCAAGTGAGCTAATCACAGGCATATACCACTCTCTGCTTCTGCGCTGTGGAAGTCATGGGAACGGCTGCCTCAAACGCCTGCAGCTGGACTACACCACTACAGTGGAATGAAACTTTGAACTATAAGTTCAAAAATAAAATAAAGCTAATTCTCCTTTATGTTGCTTTTATCAGGTTATCTTATCACAGCAACGGAACAAGTAATTTAGACATCATATAACACAATAACTATGGTATCTGCTATTTAGTTTCTTCCGTGGGAATGAGAGAAGTCAGACACCATCTTGCATGGAACTGGCATTATGGGGCATCAGATGCAGGAGAAGAGACACATTGCTGGCACAGGAGCTATGGGAACAGACAACTAGCTGCTTCTGTCTCTGCAAAACCTAAGAAAGTTATAAAATGTGAGTGACAGAGGCGGTCCCAAGTATATAAAGGAATGGAATCTGTTTGCCAAGGGTGAAAATAGTACAGGATGAAGATTCTAACTTGTTTGAAGCTCTTTCCCTAATTACCACTCATAATGAAAATTTAATTGCCAAGTTAAAAGCAAATTTTACTGTTTCTGTCAGAGAGTCTCTGCAGAAACTGGCACATTTTGTTTGAACAGGAAATCAAAGTTGCTTTAATGCTTAAATGAGATCTGAGGAGCTGCAGATGTTTCCTTGGGAATAACGAGCTTCAAAACTCGGCCTCACTAGGCTGCATCAACACAACTTCAGCAAGAACCACAAGCTGGCGCCCTGGCTTACTGCGGTTTATCCCTGGGTTCAAGCCTTGGAACTTCATGTGCTTGGTAATTGTAAGTGGGGTCTAGAGAGAGGTTCTTAGCTCACTGGGTAGTGCTCTTGGGAAGCATTAATGTAGCAATAGTGGGATTCTTTGGTTGGTTTTTCACAGAAGTTGACCTCACCGTAGGTCCACCAGGTCTTAAGCTCTGAGCCTCCAAAACCAAGAGCTAAATACACCTCTGCTGGGGCTGTGGATAGTTCTTCATTTAAAAGCACTCACCGCTGGGGCTGGAGAGATGGCCCAGCAGTCAAGAGCACTGACTGCTCTTCCAGAGGTCCTGAGTTCAATTCCCAGCAGCCACATAGTGGCTCATAACCATCTGTAATAGATCTGATGCCCTCTTCTGGAGTGTCTGAAGACAGCTACAGTGTACTCACATACATAAAGTAAATTGCTCACTGCACAGCATGATGACCTGAGCTTAATCCTCAGAACGCACAAGACTCCACATGTGTTCTGACCCCCACATGCATTCCATGGCACATATGCCCACCCTCACATACTCCATTTAAGAAATAAAAAATAAATTAGACTGCCTCATGTATTCCCTTAGAGTAATAAAAAACTGATAACACAGCTAGGTGGCAGAGAGGATATGAATTCTGAATACCTAGTGTAGGCCCTTTGTGGGTGACATGCGGAGAGTCGGTGCAGACAGAGGCTCTCTGGCATAGAGGTGCTTAGAACACAGTGCAAGACAGAGAACTAGGAAACATCAGGACCTGTCATGGAAAACAGCAAGAAAGAAAAGGTAACCTGCCAGAGGGAGGTCTCACATGGGTGCCTTCCTGATGAACCACACGGGTATCAGCCCAGAGGACTCACCTGTAAGGTACTGGTGAGGAAGTTGTCCTGGGAGACAATGTCCACAAAGAAATCAGCAGGGATCTCACCAAGCTGGTGGTACAGGATGGAGATGAGGCTGACATACAGGGTGTGGTGCTTCACCATGGCAGTTTCAGACCGACACAGGAGGTTCAGGAGCCGTTTCCAGTGCTCAAATGCCTCATATACATTGCCCAGCAGGAAGCACACAAAGGCAAACTGGAGTTCACCTGTGAGGTACAGAGAAGGGCTAAGATCCTCAGAGCATTGAGCCCTGGCTGACACTTCCCTACATGATTTACAATGTCACCATTCACACCTTAGCAAAAACAGACCTTAGAATGCAATTCTTCATCCAACAAGTACTCAGCAAATATTTGCTGAACTGCTGTTCATATTTGCCCATGTTCAAACCATGGGCCGCCAAACTGTGGCAAGGTATTTACTCAAAATTGGGCCATAAGAGAAGAGGTAGTACTACTACGCGCCTGGGACCTTAGGAGGTGGGCCCTAAACCTGCCCATCAGAATTACTACATCTCATTAAAAGCAAAGCTGCTCAGAGTTAGAGAGGTGGCTCCAGGGTTAAAACTATTTGCTGCTCTTCCAGAGGACCAAAGTTCAGTTACTAGCACTTGCTACAGGCAGCTAACGGCCACCTGTGTCTCCAGCTGCAAGGGATGCAGGGGATGCTGTGGTCTCTGTGTGCACCTGCACTCATACAGATACCCAACACACACACACACGCACACACACACACACACACACACACACACACACAACTTAAAAATAATAAAATAAGCCAGGCAGTGGTGGTGCACGCCTTTAATCCCAGCACTTGGGAGGCAGAGGCAGGCGGATTTCTGAGTTCAAGGCCAGCCTGGTCTACAGAGTGAGTTCCCGGACAGCCAGGGCTATAAGAGAAACTCTGTCTCGAAACAAACAAACAAACAAACAAACAAACATAATAAAAATAAATCCTAAAACTTAAAAATAGTAAGTAAAGCTGCCTATTTGTCAACTTAGAGATTTTGGTGAAACAGAGATGACAGAGATGATTTGTAAAAACAAGATCAAGGTGTAATTTTTTGTTTGTTTTTTAATTTTATGTATGTGAGTACACTGTCTCTGTCTTCAGACATACCAGAGGACATGGATCCCATTATAGATTGTTATGATGGATTGCTGGGAATTGAACTCAGGACCTCTGGAAGAGCAGTCAGTGTTCTTAACAATCGTTGAGCCATCTCTCCAGCCCCTAAAGGGTAGTATTTTACAATTAACATTTGAGTCTCTGACATGGTCACCTCTTAGTGGCTACTATTCTAAGTTTCCCAGATGACATGACCGACTCTAGGGCTGGTAAAGAGCTGCCATTACACACCACATTCACAGGCCATAGCCCTATTCCTCTAGGTCATCAGGAAAGGTAGCATCTCTCTCATCTTAAGATGAGGTCAAAGGTTGTCCAAGATTGTATAGCTAATGTTTTGAATAATGGAAGAAGGCTAAAGCAGTTGATGCCAGGAAGGAGTACTTCTACAGTTTCCCGCAGCAGGAAATCCCTAAGGTCTTATTGGAGGGCTAGCCTACCAGTCAGCTTAGTTGTGTTTATTTAATCACAGGGCTCTGATTCCATCTCTGTGAGCAGCCTAGTGGCTAAGAGCATGGGCTCTGGAGCCTAACTACCTGGATTCAAATCTTAGCTCTCTCACTTAGCAGCAGTATGACCTTAGGCAAATTACTTAATCTGTTTATGCCTCCATTTCCTTATTTGAGTACTATAAAGAAGAGTAAATTACTTACTACAGTGCATGTTAAGAATAATATGAGGCACACAGCAGCACTCAGAATGCTAGTTCCTAGTCCCAATCTCCAACCTATACCTTTCTCCAACAAAGACCTAATAATCTGGAAGCCACTGTATGAGTGCAAGCCACTAAGGTTCTGCCTGGCACACAGACTACAAAGAGTGGGATGTAGTGGTTCAACCTGTAATCCCCAGCACTTGGGAGGTAGGAGGCAGGGAAATCACTGTCACTGCAAGTTCCAGGATCCTGGGTTACAAAGCAAGACCCTGACTCTAAAGAAATAAACACAGGCTGACTCGCAGATGCACTCTCTGGCTTCGAAGGTGGCCAAATTTAAGCTATGTATACATGGGCCATTAAAAAAAAAAAAGAGGACTGGAGAGATGACTCAGTGGTTAAGAGCACTGACTGCTCTTCCAGAGATCATAAATTCAAATCCCAGCAACCACATGGTGGTTCACAACCATCTGTGATGAGATCTGATGCCCTCTTGTGGGTGTCTGAAGACAGCTACAGTGTACTTACAAGTGGGGACAGGGACAGGAAGGGGGGGGAGCAGAGAGGGTGGGGCCAGAGAGAGAGGGAAAAGGGAAGGGAAAAAAAATAGAGTATCCCCTTATATGTATGGTGTTTGATCGGTTACCATTAAGGGCAGGGAAAACTAGTTCCCTGATACCAGCCTGTGGAGTCTTTTCAAAACACAGTGAAATTTTCGTTGCATAATGATTTACTTCTTTGTTTGGTTTTACCTGGTTAAACTGTGAAACTAACATAAGCTTATTTGTTTGTATTCCCAATACTAATTACTGTTATGGATTTGGAGGGGCATGTTGAGAAAGGGTCTCACTAGCCAAAGCTGGGTTGGAAGTTCTCTAGTAGGGAATTAATATAAATTTGTGAGTTTTTGCCCCGTGTAAAATTTAAACTATGATATCAGAAATAATTTCAAGGAGTTGTTACACAGATTCAAACTTGCCCTATAACAATCTTTTCATCATTCATATATAATATATATAAATATATATATTCATAATTAATTAATTCATTCATTCATTCATTTTGAAACAAGGTCCTGGCTGGCCTGGAACTCACTATGCAGACCAAGCTGACCTCAAGGTCATTGAGATCTACCTGTCTCTGCCCTCTGCCTTCCCTGTGCTGGGATTCATGATGTATGCCACCTTTGCCTGGCACAGATATATTTTGAATAATGAAATGTTTAAGAGATAAAAAACAAGATTCCTAATCATGTTTAAGCAAGAATTCAGGGTTACTCATATAACACAGTATGTCATGCATTAAATGCACCTATTAAAGATTTATTTATTTTTTTATGTGCATTGGTGTTCTGTTCAAATGTCTGTGTGAGGGTGCCACATCTTCTGGAATTGGCATTACAGACAGCTATGAGCTGTCATGTGGGTGCTGGGATTGAACCAGAGTCTTTTATTAGAGTAGTCAGTGTTGTTACCCACTGAGTCATTTCTCCAGCCCCATGATGTACCTATTAAAATGTCCATTTTATCATCAGTCCAGTCAAGGCTATAAAAAGGTCAATAACCAAACTTCTCAGCAACCTTCACCAACAGGAAGTTATATGAATGTCCTAGACAGTTTATAGACGTTAAGGACAGGCATTAGAGGTGTAACAGGGGCTGGGGAGATGCTCAGTCAGGGAAACACTTGTCTCGAAAGCACATGGACCAGAGTCAGGTCCCAGAACTGGAGTTTCTGATAATACCCCAGAGGCTAACCTCTGGCTGCCATATGTGGCATGTGCATAAACACACACAAACCGCATGCCGAATGTCTGCTGTCATTAGTATTCAGAAATAGAAAGAAGATGGCAGCTTTTCAACCAGTGAACTGATCATGCTGAGCGCTGTCAAAGGTGATGAAGTGCCTGCCTCTTACCACCCACAGAGAGGCAAATCTGGCAACTCACTCAATCCAACCCTAAACCCAGGCACCTTCAGGACAGCGCTTCTGAGGCTCTACTTACAACTGAGAACTAGTTCCACAGCTCTGGGCACTACACAGCCCTAAAGCAGGAGAGTGGTGATGGGGACCTGCTCCCAGCACAGCACACTGCTCTTTAATCTTGCTTCTATAAAAACCACATACACTCCTACAATATAACTGAACTGAAAAGACTAAAATACAAAGGACAAGTGAAATACATAAAAATACACAGGAAAAAGAGAAAAAAAAAGAAAAAAATGCACTCAACCACGAAAATAGTTATTTCTAGGTATAGGACTTAGAGTAAATTTTATTTTTATTCTGTGATAAGTACATATTATTTTAAAATTAAGAGTGCAAGCAACAATAAAACTATAACATTGAAATAAAAATAAAAGTCCTGGTCTAAGCCAGTGAAGAGAGAAACATTTTAAGAACTTAAAAGCAAACTGAGGTGTCAGGTGGAGGCTTCTAGGAACGCAGACAGATGGGGCCTGGCAACAGGAGCCTTGAGCTCGGATCTCAGTGTAACCACTCCATTGGTCAAATCCTTTCTCTCTGCAGGGGTACGCTAAGTCAGCAATTATCAAACATGGGGTTATGTGCACAGGCTCATCTAAGATGCTCAAATTATTAGATAAGACAGACAGCCAGCTGGACCCGTTATAGATCTCTTGACTTAAAGTCTCTAGGCTAAGGGTAAGGAAGCATTCTAACGACTACTAATGAGTCCACCTCCTAGCCTCCTTAAGAACACTGGGCTAGATAACCCAAGATGAGCCCTCTAGTCTAAGTACCCCCCCCCCAGCATCCTCCCCCAAAGCCTAGTTCCTTCTTACCAAGTACATCCTGGGGGTTGCCAGGGAACTGCTTGCTGAGCACAGTCTCGAGGGCATAGCTCAAGTCCATGCTGTGCCTGGTGATCTCTGCCGGTGTGGCACCTGTTGGGAACATCTGAGTGGGCAACTCTGAGAACCGGATCTCTGTCCCAGCCCTGGGCTTCATCTCAGGCAGCCGGGCTAAGCCCTCTTGGTAGCTTTTGCACTCAGTGCCGCAGAGGGGTAGGTTCTGCTCTACCCTGTCCTTGGTGTGCTTCATGGAAAGCACAGGCAGCACATCTGAGAAGGCGCAGATCTGCCGGCTCTCAGGCTGCAGCTTCTCCATGGTGGCCTCACTGATGAAGTTGGTGAGTGAGATCCATTTCTTGAGTGTACCATATGGATAAGGTCCCAGAAACTGGTCTAGCTCCGGGAGATTGGCTCTCATAGCTTCTACTTCCGCTTCTGGAGCTGGAGACAAGTCTACCTCTTCCTGAATGGCATTCCAGCGCAGGACTGTCAGCCCCCGCTGCTTCAGGCTAAGAAAGAAGCCCATTCGAGGGCCCACCTCCCTAGGATTGGCCTTGTTCACAGAGCTGTAGTGGAGGAAGTGGATGCCAGGGGGGATCATCTTTACACCCCGGAACTTGGGCCCCACCTCCCAGGAGTTGTAGTCAATGCCAAACTCTGTCCCCTTGGGCATGTTCAGAATGACCACAGTGGCTCCTTCAAAGAAGAGTTGCTTGGCTAACTCAGGATCCATCTGCATGGAAGCCATGAGGCCAGTGGAGGGTGACCAAGAGCAGGGCTCTTTTCTGTCTCCTAGAAGAGCAGAGAAGGGGTAGGGAGAAAATGAATTCATCAGAATATGGGAAAAGGCTACTTCATTTCTTGCACATTCCCTATGTCAAATATCGAATTGGATCCTGACAGAAATTAACTCTCTTTAATCCCCATGGCAACCCTGCATCTGTCTAACAGATGAGAAAATCAGGGTCAAAGAGATTTGGGGGTTTTGATTTAAGGAGCAAGAGTCTTCATTCCACCACTCCAGGGATCCCACTTAAAGACAAGCGGTCACATAGTACCCAAATGAAAACCTGCCTGCTGGTACTGCAGGCTGGTGTCCACTGCCCATCAGATGTCTCTCTCTCAAAAGCAGTGGAAGATGGAAACGGCTCAAATGGCTCATTTTAAACTAGAACAATGCAAAGTCACCTAAGCTACAATTCTACCCAAAACCTGCTACTGGAGAGTACCATAAGATCTGTCAAAGACAACCAAATCAAACCGGTTACCTAATTTCCCTTGAGCATTTAAAATTAACAAAAAGTCTGAGGAGTGGAGGAGAGCTTTCAAACTCCCTACCTTCACTCATAAAACGTCTAGTTGAAAATGAGGGAACACAAAGGGCTGCTCTCCTAGTTTAAAAACAACCTGTCAGGGTGCAGTGCTACACATCTGTATTCCCAACGCTTGCTGGACCAAGATAGAGAAATCGGGAGTTCAAGATTACCCTTGACTGCTAGAGGCTGTCTCAGAAATCAAACAATAAAAACAAACAGCTGGTGGGAAGATGGCTCATCGAGTACAGTGCTTGTCCATTACACACAAAGGATCCTTAGAACCACAAACAAACAAACAAATAAAATTCTATGAGAGGCAGAGGCAGAAGGATCAGAAGTTATTCTCAGCTACATAATGAATTGGAGGCCAGCCTGGGACACATACACAAGACAATGTCTTAAAAACAAGCACACAAACAATCACAAAACAAAACCACCAGGGTGGTCCGGGATCAAACAGCTTCCTACAGAGCCACAATCCCTTCTGAGGAGACTGACATGGCAGGTCTACAGTAAGTATTTGAGGAGAGGCTTAGATTCTTTATTTTATCCACATTTAAATTCCTTATAAGAACACTTTAATTAAAAATAAAGGGGTTGGGGGTTGCTGGCAAATACTCAGTGAGTAAAGGCTTGCCTTGTAAGCCTGACAACCTCCCTTCAATAGCCAGATCCCATAGAAAGGTGGAAGGAGAAAAGAGAACCCACAAAGTTGTCTAACCCTCACATGCTCACCCAGCATTCTACCCTCCACCTCATCATGCACTCACACACACACACAATGTTAAAGACAACTGTGTAGCAGACACTGTCTCTGCAGTATTTGTAAGAATGTTTTCAGCATGAACCAATTTAAGCCAATCAACTACTTCAACTTTTACTAAGTTGAGTACTAAGTCACTTACTAGTGCAACTGACAAACACTCAGATTACAGGCACTATACAGTGTCTTTACTGGGCCCTAAAAGAAATATCCACAGAATAAGACTACTGAAAATCAGATATTTGTATTTTACACAGAGATGACCTCAAAATTCACAAGCAGAAAAAAATCAAGTGCTTGTCGCTGTTTACTTTTATTTAAAACAAACAAAAAAAATCCTTTTACAAAAAATATTAGAGTTCGAGGCCAGCCTGGTCTACAGAGTGAGTTCCAGGACAGCCAGGGCTACACAGAGAAACCCTCTCTCGAAACCAACCCCGCCCCCCAAAAATTAGGAGCACACTTTATTGTCTTTACCTTAAAAAAAAAAAATAGGAGAAGGGACTCTAAATCAGCATTCTTTTTCAAACTGCAAGGCATAACTTAGTTAAGAAATCATTTCTACACATAGAGCTAATCTGAAATAATGGGAAAAGTTGTACGGAAACCAGAAGAGGATGCTGAATTCCCTGAAACTGGAGTTAGGGGTGGTTTTAGCACCACGAGGGTGGTAGGAACGGAGCTCAAGTCCTCTGGAAGAGCAGGCAAGTCTCTTAACCACCAAGTCGTCTCTCCAGTACCAAGAAGAGAATTTTTAAGCTATCGGAATGCCCCAAGTAACAAGGATAGGAATGGTTCCATGAAGACATGTGCTTGTATGTATACGTGGTCACAGCATGAAAGTCTTGTGACTGTAGTTCACAGTCAAAAAAGTCTGAAACATACAAATGGGATACATTCTTCACATCCCTGCAATACAGAGACACCTCTTCAGCCTATTCACCACCTTCCAAAAGCAAAGAGTACTTGGTCCTCAATGCATTCTCTATCTGGCTTTAGGGAACACACAATTCTTACGAAGACCCGAAAACGCTGCACGAATTACCCTTGGCAACTCTTCGGCTTATTTAATACCACCCCAATCCGAAAGACTGTTCCAACCAGAGAAAACACTAACCATAGCACTTTGTCAAACAATTTTTTTTTATCTTAGTAAAGCCTCTTCAACCCAGGACTAAGTCAAATGTTCCGTGATTATACTCTAGATACTTTATTGCCGTTCAATTCCAATGATAGGTGTTTAACTTTGTATTTGACTGGGGACTGTCATGCCCACAAGATGCGAGTCCTAGATCCCTAGCATATACACGAAGCTTAAAATTTTTACTTACTACAATATGCATTTAAGTAAAGCCAGGAAGCCTGGTGGGTGACTTATCGGAAGCTACACACAATTCGTTCTCTGGTTCCCAAGGTCTACAGTTATAGGGGGGAAATGTTACTCCATGGGCCCCAGAGAGCCTGACCACGGTCTCTGGTAACCGGTTCTCAGAAAGAAAGACCTCCTGAGACACCAGCTCACAAATCCATACTCCGCTGGCGCGATTCTGAGACAAGAAGCGAAGTGGCCCGATCACATATAACAAATTCAGAAGACGAAAGGAGTATCAAGAGCCGATACTCACCGTACCGCCTCACGCTCGAGCTCCGCGGAAACCGGACGGAAGCTCGGCTGCTTTGGTACCGGATAAGTGTTACGAAAAATGTGGTCCGGCGGAGCCCCGGGTCTCAGAAGAAATGGCCCGTGATTCCAGGTTCCTCACGATAAAGCACTGCGTTTTCTTCTTACTGTTTCGTTTTACTTCCTGAATTGTGAATAACGACTTTAACTAAACTATACACTTTATATCCCCGTCTCGAAACATACTCACCAACCACAATCCTTTGGTCTCAAGCAGACACGGGCTGGCCAAACCATGGTCTAGGTGTTGGCATGCAGCAGCCACGGTTAGATTGGCTCAGACACGGTTAGCTCTCTTTAGTCACATTTACTAAGCCAGTCACTCTGTCAAAAGTTCCTATTTCCTTCAAATCCCAGCGTCTAGACACATTAACCCCTAGTTTCAGAGCTAAGGCTGTTGCCTGAAGAAAGAACCAGTCCCTTCATCAGCCACCACAAGCAGTTTCTCTGGCAGTGACCACCCAGTGTTTTCCCAGCCTTACAGAATACAACAGTCAAGCTATAAATGCGCATTGAGTGAGGAAACCTGCCTGTCTTTTTCTTCTCTATTTCCTTAGAACCTAGCACACAGCCCTCACAAATGTACTGTGTATTTAATAACAAATCAAATAATGTGTATAGTAAATGACTATTTGTAAGCCTAGCTTTGTGCTGGATGGTTCTGTACATCAGAATTCCACCAAGAATCAGAGCCACTGGGAGATATATAGACACTACTTCTAATCTTTTCACTAACCATAGTAAGCTTGTTTATCTGTGAAGACAGGATTCTCAAAGGCCCTCAGTCTCTTCGTCGGGTGACTTTACCAAGACTAGCTGTGTCTACGATGGCTAACAGAGCAGAAGATAACCCCCAACTTCATTATCACCCCCATCTGCCTCTTAAGTGGCCTAACTCTAGTGCCATGACAGTTGTCAGTGGGAAAAAACCGAAAAAGAGTGCCCAAATTACTGGAAAAGCCTTGCCATTCCCAGAAAGGACACAAGTCCCTCTGCCCCTTCTACTGGCCTCATTTATTTTTCATTTTTTAAATTAATTAATTAATTTTTTGCACCATACCTGCATTTCTCTAACTCTTGGTTGTTCAAAAGCTTAAATCTGAGTTTATCTCCCATTTCTATTCCTAAGCAAGACTAAGTCTCCCTTGCCAATAGACTCGGTCTTTTTACTGGTGCTACAATTCTGAGAAAAGAATGACCCAGTATGGGGATGAAATCTTGGCAATTAGTATTCTCAACCTACAAAAGAGAAAACTGAGAAACACACACCCAGAGAGTACAGATATAGGATGAAAAAAATTGATATAAAACCAGCTGAAGTTCCAGCCCCTGTGCTACAGTTCTGTGTCAATCTGTCCCACTCACAACTTCACAATTCATCTCTTAGGGGGCTGCAAACTAGGCTAGATGGGCAATCATGGGTCATCGCAGCGGGCTGCCACAGGTTAGCCAGAGGTGAGTTAGGCAGTCAATGTCAACCTTCCCAGTCAGTTCCATTTCTCTTGAGAAGTTGCTCAGCTCCCTCCTCCTCCCATTTCTACTCCCATCTTAGGAGCTGAACTCCGCGGTGTGGTCTCCAAGCTTCCAGGAGGCTTCACATAGCTTCCCATCTTTTTAGAGACCCAAGGCATTTAACACTGGACATGGAAGTTGCAGGGTATAAAGATGCTGGCCTGAACATCCAACTTTGTGAACTATGTTCACTCAAAGCACAATTTCTCAATTTTGGTACCACTGGTGTGTGAGATCAGGTAATTCTTGGTGGCAGACAGCTTGTTCTGTGGATTGGAAGAAGTTTAGCTGCAGACATAGGCTTTAATCTCTAGGACACTGGTCAACTGTGATGCAAAGTCTTTCTAGAAATTGCTTCACTATCCTTTCCAACTCAAGCTGAGAAACCATTGAGTTGAATAAACTACTCCAGTTATTCCCCAGAAGCAGAAAGACTAGTCCAGGAAGTGTGCAGTCCCAATCTCTGTAAACCAAGTGTTATTTCAGGATTCTAAAAGCAATTGATCATTAAATGAAACTTACAAGGGAAATTCTGGAAGCCATTCTCAAAGCTCCCTGAAGCAATTGCCTTACACAACAAATAGAACTCTGGAGAAGACTGGGGATTTTTTCAGGGTGTAGCCTTTGTATTACTTAATGAGCCGGCTTTACAGAGAAAAGCAGTTAATACTTAGTATCTAAAATGATAGGAAAATGTTCAGAATGTAAGTTTTAAAAGCATTTATGATGTTATGTGCAAGATAACTTTGGCTCTGAAAATAAATATATGTGGGAAAAAAGAGACTTGTTTTGTGAAATTTGGAGCAATATAGAAAGGGGAACTGGGGTGATTTTCTTGACAGGATAAAATAGAAAATTGTAGAATGTATACCTCAGATGCCTTAAGAAAGGAATTTAGGTTTTACATAGATTATGATTTTAATTTAAAGTTTTATTCATTGCTTTCTTTCAGTACTAAGATCTTCGGTACATGTGAGTGTGTGTGTGTGTGTGGTGTCTGTGTGTGGTATGTACGTGGTGTGTATGTGATGTGTGTGTGTGTGGTGTGTATATGGTGTGTGTGTGGTGTGTGTATATGGTGTGTGTGTGGTGTGTGTATATGATGTGTGTGTGGTATGTGGTGTGTATGTGATGTGTGTGTCTATGTGGTGTGTGTGTATTTGATATGTATATGGTATGTATGTGGTATGTGTGTGTGTGTGTGGTGTGTATATGTGATGTGTGTGTGGTGTGTATGTGGTATGTATGGGGTATGTGTATGTGGGGTGTGTGTGTGTGTGTATGTGGTGTGTATATGGTATGTATGTGGTGTGTCTGTGTGTGGTGTGTATGTGGTGTGTGTGTATGTGGTGTGTATATGGTGTGTATGTGGTATGTGGGGTGTGTGTATGTGATGTGTGTATGGTGTGTATGTGGTGTGTGTATGTGGTGTGTGTGGGGGGGTGTGTTACACACCCAGCTCTCTCCATTTGTTTTTGTGAACATTCCTTTCTTTGGCAAGTGGCATTAGTTATTTACTTTTGGAATTATTTTTTAAATTAAAATTTTTGCACTACTGTTCTGTTGGACCTATGACCTAGCCCTATTTTTATTTCTTAACATTTGTGTGTGTGTGTGTGTGTGTATGTGTGTAGGGCAGCATGTGAACCATGAAGTGCATGTTAAGGTCAGGGGACAACTTGCAGGCCTAGGCTCCCTCCTTCCACCCTATGGGTCCCGGGATTGAATTCAGGCTGTTAGGCTTGGTGGCAGGTGCTTTTGCTTTATCTGCTGAGTCATCTCACTGGTCCCCTAATTTCCTTTCTTAAATAATTATTTTCAAAGTGAGTTAAAGAAAATTTAGTCAGTAATGGGATATGTGGTGTGAGCCCATGATTGGACTGCTGTGCACATTTCTCACTAGGCTCCCATATAGGGGCTGCTCTTCTTTCAGAAAGACTATGCTACACCTCCCCGCCCCAGGTCTTGGGACCCATATACTGACTGTCCCCTTGCCTAGAAAGTCTTACTGGCTCTTTCTCTTTATTTGGCTCAAAAAAAAAAAAAATGACCTCCTTAGGGAGGTCCTTCAACTGGTCAACCACTATTTTTCTCTTTGGGGGCTGGAGTTCATACACACAGCCCCACACATGCTAAGGACCTACCCGACCACTGAGCTACACTGGAAACTTGGCCACCTTGTTAAAGTGGTCCCCTTCAGTGACCCTCCACCCCCTTCCTCAACATGTCTCCTTCCAAGTGCTGCTCTCTAACCAGGTTTTTTCTTGTTTCACTGTTCCCAGCACTGGATTGAGAGCCCTTGACCAGCAAGGACTATGCCCTTGTGCCCAGGGAGCCTAAGCCAAGGCCTGGGCTGCCATGGGAGCTCCAGACATTTGTTTATTAAAATTGTTCTGTATTAGAGCCTGGCTTGGAGCATGCCTTTAATCTCAGCACTAGGGAGAGGGAGGTGGGTCTCTTTCAATTAGCAATAATTGTGACTCGGATAAACCTCATTGGCTACGATACTGCCACTGCGCAAAGCTGAGGTGGCTCTCTTGAGTTTCAAGCTAGGGCTATGTGGTGAGACCATCTCAAAACCAAAACCAAAGTGTTCTGTGTTGGGTGTCTCCATTCCAGTTCTGTAACAGCTTGTACCAGCAGCCAAGGTCAGAGAGAAGAGATGTGGGGAGGGAGAGAGATAAGGGAGGCTGAGGGAGTCCATGGTTCAGCATCAAACACATTTATTTCACTTTTATTGAGTATACAAGAACAGAGAGCACACGCATACAGCACGGAGCACTGAGGTGGGGGAGCGTGGGGATGAGAGAGGAGAGAGGGGAGTGGGCGAGAAGGAACAGGACAGCATCGCAGTTGGCTGGTAAGGTGCTTTTGAAAAAAATAGATATCTAGGTGATGTTGCTCATGCAATTTCAGGCCAGTCTTGGTATGTGCTTGCAGGATTCAGACACTGACACAGGTCCTGGCACTTCCTGTACCCTCGTGTGGAAAAGACTCACAGAAAACAAACATGGGGAAAACAAAGGTGCATGAGACACAGTGTGGGAAGAAGCCTCAGGGTGCGACAGTTTGCCCTGCTCATTGGGTTACATAGGATGGGGTAGCCCAGGGTCACGTGGTGAGTTAGGAGCTGCATCGAGATGGTCACCTGGAACCGACTGCTCTCTGAGGCTCTTCTCACTCCGTTACTTGGCTCCCTGGATAGCAAGGTGCCACAGAGATGATCATACACACTCACACACACACACACACAAATGTGAAAAGGAAAAGTAGGCTGAAGTTAGACAACACAGAGTCCTTATTCTCTATGAAGTGAAGGAGGGGGAGGAGACGGTGCCCTAGATTTTAGCTGTGCAGGTCTCCTCCTCCCTGGGCAGGGTGCTGACTGCCTCTCTGGGAAAAAAAAAATGATCAGAACATCCATGGAGTGAGTAGCTCCCCAAACCCTAACCTCCCACGAACTAAGCTGGGTCATTTCG